ACAACTTTGGCCTTTGTGATTGAGTCACATGATCTCAAGTAGCAAACATGTTTTAGTTAAAAGAGGGACTGAAAGTTCAAGAATCTTTTAACTAACAGCTATATGTTAGTCCTATTTGGAAGGTAAAATGGCCAACTACAAGGGTCAAAAAGGTTTTGCGCAACTATTCAACTGGAAATGGTACATACTAAAGTATGTGGACACTTAGCGTTCAGACCAGAAGAGGTGATGAGTACTTCATTATATGAATGTTTACCCTGGATTTGGACAGATGAACCAAGTGCGCTATAAGTCTAAAGCTTTTGGAAATTTCCAAGAGGTTTAAGTCTGAGGCAGAAAAGCATGTAGGTGTTCAAATCAAACCACTTTGGTCTATTAAAGTGTTTGGCTACCTGTCTGGTAATTTCAGGTCTTACCTGATTTAAGAGGGGATAGTTTTCGTAACTGTCAACTCTAAGAACGCGTTAGTTGAATGAAGTTGCAGTATGCAAAAATCAAACATTTCTAGACTTGGTGAAGATCATGTTCAGTTATTCATCTTTGTCAATGTTGTTCAAGGGAGATGCCTAAGAGAAGGAAATATATCTTCTTAACTTGGTTCCATCAAAGTTTGTTGTAAAGACACCTAAAGAATTATGGAAGGGGTGCAAGCCCAGATCAAACCCTATTCGGATTTAGGGTGCTACGGCACACGTCCTACAACAGCAGTCAAATAAGATGGAATCTTGTATGGAAGAGTGCATATCTTTTAGCTACCCTAAGAGAACTAGGGATGATTTTTATTTAGTCTTAAGGACAAGATAATCTAAGTGAGCACTCACATGATTTTCTTAAAGGAGGACTAGATGAGAAATTATAAGCTCTTAAGTTAGGTTATTCTTGATGAGATTTATCTCAGCTCAAGAATTTCCAGAATCTCTAGAAGCTTCATCCACTGTTCCCTTGATTGTTCAAGAGGGGATAGATATATCTCTAAGTGAACAAACAAGAGAACCATGATTGGAAATTCAACACGATAATATATAAATGAAACTAGTAGAAATATTAGTATCACATGTAAAGGAACAATATCAAGGATAAGCGGATCCTCAAGAAATTGAAGATCCATCATTTGACCCACTCTTTGTTTTACCTATAAATACACAAGGTCTAGTGCAGTACATTCGTAGTGGGAGAGAACCTTGTTAACTCTCAAGTTGTTTCTTGTTGAGTGACATTGATCCTACTAGTTACGATAATGCACTAGAAGACAGTAGCTTTTCTGGTACTTTATGTAGATGATATGCTCCTTATTAGAAACAATGTAGAGATAATATCAAGCATAAAGAGTTGGCTAAGTTAGTGTTTTGGTATGGAAGTACTGGGGAAGCCAATTATATTCTTGGTATAAAACACTTATGAGGCCGGAAGAATAAATTGTTGGCATCACCTCAGGCTACTTACATTGACAAAACTCTTGCCAAAATTCAACATGAGAATTCTAAGAGAAGAATTATAATTCTCAGATGTGGAATTCATCTTCCTAAGGAGTGACCAAAGACTTCTAAGAAGGAAGAATGCATGAGCAAGATATCTTATGCTTTGGCAAAGGTAGACTCACGCATATCATGTTGGGCGTTAAACCAGACATCTGTCACGTAGTGGGAGTAGTGAGATAGTACCATTTTGAACCTAGAGGAATACTATATTATTGTTAAGCATGTACTCAAGTATCTTTGGAGAACGAGAGATTATATGCTGGTATATTCTAGTGGGAGTCTTGAAAAGCTGAGTTTTCAAAAATTCAGTTATTTCAAGTGGATATTGACTCAAGAAAATCAACCTCGAGCTATGAGTTTTTCACTAAACTCATATAGCATTAGAGATGGATCTTGCAGACCCAGTTACTAAGAGTTTGCCTGAACTTGTGTTCGAGAGGCATGTTACTTCTTTGGGTCTTAGGAGGATCCCAGACTTGCATTAAGCAAGTGAGAGTTATTGGTTTCATTGTGCTCTTGGAGTAAGATGATGAAACAATAAAATAATTTTCTGAATTTCATAAATAAGGTTTTATTTATTTATTTTGTGCACTATTTACAAACATAGAGGTCCGGATCAAATTGTGGAGTATAGGATCATATGGATACGTTCATGGAGGACATGATCATAGGTTCTCACAATTGATGAATGGAGTCACAGCCGTTAAATAAAGTTGGGCACTTTATTCAGGCTGCAATATTTTATGAAATGATTTTGTCCGAATCATTGTAAAATATTGGTGTGAATTAACATTTACGTTAAAAGGATCAAGGAGAGATTTGATTAAGGTTGTTTTTCTGTCATAAGTTATCAAATCTCCAGTTAACTATAGTTATGTGATTGCTCTTAATCCTGAGTTTATTATAAATAGGTAATCAAATAGTTTTTATTCTTTGATTTACCAACGGGTGAGGTTCGATCTATTGACGACCAATAACTCGGTATTTTGGGAGTGAGATTATTTGATTATCGGTATTTATGAAATAAACAACATGGAATTTGTAGGATATGTCCCTTTGATATGTTTCGGTACTTGGATATTAAAGACACTGGCTAGTGCATGTAATCCATTAGAGAAACTATCATAGTCAAGGGAATAAATAATTGATTGAGTTACAGAAAACTTGTCAATCAATTATAGACATTTTACAAAGGGGCGATGCATATTCATGTTATAAGTGTTGTTAATCTTGGAGTTCAAGTTCGGGCTTTTAGTGGAGTAGCACCGAAATAAATAATCATTCGTTGATTATTAGGAGCCTTGATTAATAACAGATGGTAGATCCCCAAGCTAGCTTGAGACAAGGGATGGGGTATTTTTCGGATAGATGATGACTTATGGGTTACATGATCTTGGGTTTTACGACTCAAGTTTGTATCCAAAAGAGCAAGTGGGAGATTGTTGGGTTTGCTCTTTTACTAAAGCCCAAATGGGTTATTAGTATGAGAAGAGCCCAAGGAACCTAGAGCCCAATGAGCTAGGGTTTCTTGGAACCCATATAAATTGTACCTCTTAAGTCATCAGCCTTAGAGGTTTTTTTTGTGAGAAAGAGGCAAGCTCAGAATCTAATCAGTGCCCACACACTTCTCCTTCCTCCTCGAGAGATAGTTTGGAAGATCTGCCACAGTCCAGCTTCAAGGAGGTTGTTCGTGCTGCGGCGCTGAGGTGAGCTGTTTGTGAAGAGGAATCCTACAGGGAAAGATTCTACACGAGACCTGCGCACCGAGAGGTAATTGTGAAACAAGGATGATTCGGTAAGCATACCAATGTACTAGATCCTAAACCGCTTCCGCATAAATCTAAGATTTCCTACAGTTTCCTTTATCAGCGTGAGCTTACTTCGCAATTAATCCACAGAGGCATAGATGAATATATTCACATATCGCTATTACAGAGTGAAAAAAAAAATGAAAACATTTTACAAAGTTACAGTGGTAACGTTGTTGTTGTACAAATGTTACTTTTCCATACATGCATTTGGAAAAGACAATGCTGTACGATTACGAATATGATATAACCAGGGAAAAGAAAGTTGATTGGAAAAAAACATGTCACGTCAAGACTACTCCCGTATATTGACAGGACTCGTGCCATGTCAGTGTCACGTAGGCAGTTCAGTTATCATAAAATTTCGAAAGATCATAACTTTTGACTCGGGTATTCAAATCAGACGATTTTTTTTATTTCACATAACTTTTTGATATCTACGCAATGACACCTCATTTGACATATTTTATCTACCACAAACATAGTTTGAAGATCTTATGGATTTAAACACTCTTATGATTGTGGTACAATTGTTACAAATTCAAACTGTTTGTGGAAGATAAAATATATCAAATGAGTTGTCATTGCGTAGATATCAAAAAGTTATGTGAAATAAAAAAAAAATCGTCTGATTTGGATACCCGAGTCAAAAGTTATAATCTTCCAAAATTTTACGATAACTGGACTGCCTACGTGGCGCTGATGTGGCACGAGTCTCGTCAGTATCATTGACGGGACTAGTCCGTCAGCATATGTGATATGTTTGACTGCACTATTTTAAAAAAATTTATCCAATCAACTTCAACTAAAGAATTCTTTTATCCAAAAATTTTAAAATAATGCTTTAGTCGATATAAGCAAGTATTACAGCGCCACAGAAACAGCAAAAATAAATGCATAGACCATTGGCATATTTTCGAAGCCATGACAAAACTGTGATTCAACCAATCTATATAATTAGATCCAGGCCACTAATTTCACACGTCCAGAAGCTCATCACTGCACTGGAATGCTCTATATATCTCCAAATGTGTCGTGAGTATAAAAGTGATGTTTTATTAAATTGATGGAGTAAGATTGATTTAGTTTTGCTCAACACCATGCACTCCGTTTCATTGTCAACAATAAAATTGAAATCTTCCTATTCCTTTACTGGAATAAAATCCTCAGTGGTTACATAGAGTGAAACGTACGTGTAAATTAAATTTGGATCATTTTTAATAATAAAACAGTAAAACATTGTTTAAAGTTTAAAGTTTAAAAGAAAGAAAGAAATTAAAGTTGATACTTTATTTGAATTATAGCGACCAAAAAGAAAAGGAACCAATTAATTAAGCATGATGATAAACTAAACAAGAAAAAAAAAATGGTTAAGATGGACCCCACAGCTGTAAAATAATTGTAAGAGATGCTTTTTGCGTTTTCTTTGCCATACAGATGACATGGCCATGCCGTGGATTTTGCTTATTTAAAGCAACTCCATGTCCATACTCAGAGGTCTTGTTCCATAATTCAAAGCAAGTAATGGCATCAAAACTCTCATTCCATGCATAACACCATTCAGCATACGTGCTCCATATTCAAAGTCCTTTTGACCTAAACCTATCTTACGTACGTTGTCAAAATCTCCAACCAAACTTGGTTTTTATCCAACACACACACACATTGAGAAACAAATATAGATATATTAGAAAGATTTTTGTTTAAAAAAAAAATGGCCAAAAGGAGCATCTCACTCTTCACGATATTTCTTCTTTCTCTGAGCGCCTTCTTTCCTTCACTCTCAGTGTCATCATCCACCACAGACAACTTCCTCTACAGTGGGTGCACTCAGCAGAGGTACGTGCCAAACTCGCCCTACGAGTCAAACCTCGACTCGCTACTCAATTCCCTGGTCAACTCGGCCACGTACTCCACCTACAACAACTTCACCGTCTTAGGCACCACCCAACAGGACGTCGTGTACGGCCTCTACCAGTGCCGCGGCGACCTCTCCATGCCGGACTGCGCCACCTGCGTCGCCCGCGCCATCACTCGCGCCCGTGACCTGTGCCCGGAGGCTTGCGGCGGCGCCGTCCAGCTCGATGGCTGTTACGTTAAGTACGACAACGCCACGTTCCTTGGCGCGGAGGACAAGACGGTGGTGTTGAAGAAGTGTGGGCCCTCCGTCGGTTACAACCCCGACGCCATGGGTAGCAGGGACGCTGTGCTCGCCGGGCTGGCTGGCACCGGAGGGCCTTTTCGGTTGGGAGGGGCCGGTGGCGTGCGCGGCGTGGCTCAGTGCACCGGCGACCTGAGCTCCGGGGAATGCCAGGACTGTATCTCTGAGGCCATCTCGAGGCTGAAGAGCGATTGCGGCACGGCGGATTATGGTGACATGTTCTTGGCGAAGTGCTACGCGAGGTACTCCACCGGTGGGGCCCACGATGCCTCTAAGGCCCGCGGTAAGGCCCATCTTATGGTGATAGTGGTTCTTCTTCTTCTTCAACTTGTTTTATATTCTTACGGGTTTGAAGGTTTGAACTGAAGATACACTTGTAACATGTAAGAGTGGCCAAAAGAACTTTGGGAGTTAGATGGGGCAAAATGTAAATTTTCATGAGAATATGAATATTAACAACATAATTTACCGTATTTTCTTTTTAATATATATATATATATATATATATATATATATATATATATATTTATTGTGCAAATAAGATCAGTTGCCAACTGAGTTACCTTGATGTTCTTTTTGATATTATTTTATAATTAGATAACATTTATTTATTCTTGTGTAGTAATTTTTTAAATAATTCATGTTTGATTGATTATAATTGGAAATATAGGAGGTTTGGTAGGTTTTGTTGGCTTGATAGGTCAAGCCACACATTTTACTTTTAAAAAATAGATCAACCCTCTATAAATTAAACTAACAAGTTTGGGTAGTTTCATACTATTTTACACATGCCTAGACGGTTTAAACCCCAATTCACTACTTTATTAACCAAAGTTGAGCTTCATTATGAACCATTGACATCACGTAGACACGTGCGGTTAGCTCTTTTTGCTGATTTTGGGTCTCTTGCAAAAATTACAAGCCAAAACATATTTTTTGTTAGAAAAAAACTACGCATTTTTTCTTTATTACTTGATTAACTCCTTTTGCTGTATTGGTGATTGATGCGTTGCAGGTAAATCAAGAAAGGGAGGTGAAAAGACATTTGCTATAATTATTGGTTCATTAGCAGGATTAGCTATACTCATTATTTTCCTTGCTTTCTTGAGCAAGATTTGTGGACAGCATGGTAAAGAGTACACACTTTTTTCTCTCTGTGTTTCTTTGTTTTTCATTCATTTTAATTTAATTTATTGTATTGAGAAAAAAAGAAAAAGAAAACCCATAGATTCCGCAATATATTAACAGCATTCCTTTTTGCTTGTATCTTTTATCATGCAGGTAAATAAATAAAATTAAGTTCGTGACATTATTCAGTGGCGCTGGCACTGATCAATTTCCACCCAATCGCACTCTAATGGTCTGCTTTTGTGCTTCTTTTGCTTCCTTTTTTACTATTTCAAATTTAAAATTCAGTTCACAAAAGGACTTTGAAGCTTGAGGAGGATACCGTTTGGAAAAAAAGAGTGTCAAATGGGGCACTTTTGTATTTGAATACAGAAGGAAAGATGAAGAAAACCTAAGAGCTAAGAGATTCCAGTTACTTTCCTCCCCTCTTTAAAAAGTTGTGTTGTCAAATGTCTCATGTTTGCAAAGAAAAGTAATTATATTATTCTTTTGTTTTCTGTAAAGTTGTGTAACATTTTTGATTTGTTTATTGTCATTCGTCGGTATATGCACCGATGAACTTTTTGGGGCTTTTTGACCGTGTTAATGCATTTTTAAAAATATTCCACCTGGTTAGTTTCATGATCAAATGTATTACCGACGTAATGCAAGAAGACGTGTTGGGGGTACAATCACGTAAAGTCGCGCACCTAGAGGCACCGCGTCCTTCACAAATGTCTGACAAAAGCTGTATGATCAATCATAGTCGCGCATGAGAACATAACGCGTTTGGCTCCTATACAAACTACACAATTCTCATTTCCAATAAAAAGGGCTTGAAGATTCTGTACCTGTTTCTAATATTTAATTGCCATGTATATTAGATGTGAGGTTCAGGGAAGATGCATTAAGAATTTTCACGGGATTTAATTGCCAATGAATACAGATGCATGACATCAAAATAGTATTCTTTTATTTTATTTTTATGAAAAAGCGATAATTTTAACACAAAAAAAAAAACTTTTGTGGATACAGTTGTTTGGTACGTGGCGTGGAAATGACAAAACAAGGTTCACATCCACAAAAAACCTGTATTTTAAAATAGTAAAATTGTTTGCCCATATGCAAAATTTCTAATAGCCACTTCAATACAAACACTTTAGGATCAAATTAAACTCATTCGATTGATCATAATCCTCCCTAACATAGTAGGAAACACTAATAGATTTCAAACAAGAGGGAGGATATTTTGACTACCAAAAGTATCCACTACCACTTTACTACCTATCAAATCACCATTGGATCAAAGAGAGAGAATGTTAAAAAGTTTTTGAAGAGAGAGAAAATGTTAATCCAATGATGATTAGATAGGTAGTAAGGTGGTAGTGGAAACTTTTGGTAGTCAAAATATCCTCCCTCTTCAAACAAATTGATATGCATATCAGTTATTCAACATTTTATAATCTGTCTTAACACAGATTTATAAGTAAAAGATGGATCATTAGAATACGCACTTAAAAAATCCACAAATTTGTCATCACATATTATTCAAAGATAAACTCACTTCAAACGTGTTCATTTGTTTTTCATAGCCTGAAATATTTATTTTTCTTAATTTAAGAAAAAAAAATTCTTCTGAGAATTTTCCTTAAACAATGTGTTTTCCCCCCGGTTTTAGGCACTATACAAGTTAATTGTTTCATTGAAATTAATCAAAATACCAAATTATTAATTTAGATAGAATTAAGTCATCATTTTTTTACCATTATTTTAAAATAAGATAACAATGGAACCATTGTTCACTTTACTGCACCTTATTATTTTCCGCTCAGTTCTACTAATTTTTAAAAAGAAAAAGTGTATCTCATTTTAAAATATGTAAAGTTGTGTCATTTTAAGATAGAAAAAAAATAGATAAAAGAGGAGAGAGAGTTGACAAAAAAAATAAAGGTGTGGGTCCCACCTCTTTACAAGAGTGAAAAGATATAAGTTGTGTCATTTAAAAAGATAAATATTTTTTCCTTTTTAAAATACAGGTTTTTTGTGGATGTAAACCTTGTTTTGTCATTTCCTCGCCACGTACCAAACAACTGGATCCACAAAAGTTTTTTTATTGTGTTAAAATTATCGCTTTTTCATAAAAATAAAATAAAAGAATACTATTTTCATGTCATGTATCTGTATTCATTGGCAATTAAATCCTGTGAAAATTCTTAATGCATCTTCCATGAACCTCACATCTAATATACATGGCAATTAAATATTAAAAACAGGTACAGAATCTTCAAGCCCCTTTTATTGGAAATGAGAATTGTGTAGTTGTATAGGAGCCAAACGCGTTATGTTCTCATGTGCGACTATGATTGATCAATCAGAGACGCGGTTGTCTCGGATACGCGTCAACTTTTGTCAGACATTTGTGAAGGATGCGGTGCCTCTAGGTGCGCGACTTTACGCGGTTGTATTACATCGGTAATACATTTGATCATGAAACTAACCAGGTGAAATATTTTAAAAAATACATTAACACGGTCAAAAAGCCACTTTTTGGGTACTTATATGGATTTTACATGTCGAATTATTAAAATATAGTTACTCATAGTTATATATATATATATATATATATATATATATATATATATATATATATATATATATATATATATTGTATAAATGTGTGCATTTAAAACTGGAATCTTTTGAATTTAATGATCATTGAATATAAATTTTTGCAAAATTGGTAGGTTAGATGAAGTTAACAATTTTCTATCCCGAATGACATGAAAGTGTTTAAAACAAACTTATTTAAACGTGATACTATAGTTTAAAAAACATTCGAGAAAATAGACCATAGAATTGGAGGCTAATGTTGGCACACCAATCGGATGTTGCATTTCTGTTTGACCCGCTCTCAATAGCAAAGTTTAATGCTTTTCAATTTTAAATTTTATCCTTTAATAAAATAAAAATCTATACAAATATAGTTACATGGTTAGAATATTTAAAATTTTCTTGAACCGGATAGTTTGGCCATTTTAGAATATTTTTCACAACCACCTATATACATATACCACTCATGTCATCCTCACTCCTAAGGCATGTGGGATCTTAGGCAAGACTGGACAAAATTATATAGGGAAATGCTTTTCATCAGTTGCAGGGGAGAAGCTATACTTTCCTACCGAGACATTAATAAGTGGCGGCTATTATTTAAAATAAAATAAAAATTAAAAAGAAAAGCTGATGCAAAATCCTATGTATGTGTAAGAAGGAGGAATAGTATTGCTGTACATAAGAAAACAAAATCCCAAATATATAAAACCCAAGATTGTATAGTTTTATCCCTATATTTTTTTTAAAAGTTTTTTCTATAAATGAATATCCGTGACTTTCCAAACATAATGAAAATTTTTATCGCCATTTCAAGGTTTGCTCTCGTGAATAAAAACATATAAATTATATAAATTAGCAAATTAACATGTCTAAATAATTATACAGTAAATTGATATTTCTAAATTCTAATTATACAAATCAATTAAATAACATGAATGAGCAAATTAACTCAAATAATTTATTATTTAGGACTGCCGAATAAGAGCAAATATATAGTGCTCCCAGCCCAATGCACCGCCAAAGAGAAAGAGAGAAGAAAAAAAAAAGAGGATTAATAGAGAAAGAAGAAAGAGAGAAACCAAAGAATTAATTTTCGCTCAATAAACGAGAAATGTTTTTCTCAAGTTACATAAAAAAATTTATCTCATGTCACATACACATCGCAATCCGAGTCATCATTTTTTTTCTTTTTTTCTTTTTTTTTTAACCGTGAGACCCACCTAATTATGTCTCTACATGAGATAATATTATCTCATGTAGCATGAGAAAAGCATTGCCCATGTATATGTATGTACTAGCTCCATTCCACTTAAGATTCTGACTGAAGGATTATGTAACTCATTTTACAAGGCAACAATATATATCATGTGAGTTATTGATTTTATTGAATTTCATCATTGTCCTTAAAGTATTCATTCAACTTTCTATTGGAGAAACAAGGAAGTCATTATTTATTTATTTTTTTATTGGTTACAAGGAATTGGACACAACACCCTACACTACACACACTCCTAACACACACCCACACCACTAGGCTAACTCTAGTGGTGCTAGGAAGTCATTATTCTTAGTAAATATAATTTGAAACATGCCGAGCACTAAATAATGTACCTAAAAGCAGAAGTATAATTTAATTTAATCCTCAATGGACAAAAAGCACACAGAATATCCCGCCAAACAGCACCCAGGTGCTCTTAATGTTTTATAGTATGGCCCATCACCCATCCAAGAAGATATCATAGTGAGAGAAGCCATTCTAATCAAATTCATTTCAAAATCATATAATATGAAGGACCTAAAAACAATTGCTCTTTACACTTTTTCTTCTTCGTCTTTTACCAGAAACATCATTAATTGGATGGAATCCATCTCTTTTGGCCTCCAGAAAGATCCATATATCTAAAGCTTAAAGATTAAGGAAACGCTGCACAAATACATACTGAGCATGATTACGATAAAGCATGCAGCAGAAGCCTAAAATATTATTATAGCCCACAATTAAACAAGAGACCAAGCAAAAAAGCACTATTTTAAAAAAGTATTGTCAATCATATATGCAGTAATATACAATATATAGGAGCTAAAGGAAAGAGACGATTGCTTTTTTTACTATTTTTAATGTAAACCAATTAATAGTTAATTTGAACAGAAAAACAAGAATCTTATACAAATCCATCCCTTTGGTGGGATCCATAAAAATGGGCATGATTGTGAAGCACATAGAAATCATATATAACCGATTAAAGCTCTTTTTGCCTTCCTCTGACATTGACGTCGTCGATGCCACTCACTTCAACCAGCTTGGTGAACATTGAATTATAACAACTTTCTTTGTTCATGTTTTAGAATATGTCTGATTGAGGAGAAAAAATAGGTTATTTACACCCAATGAGTGTAGCTATGTTGCTGACACTGGTCAGGTAGGTGAGGAGGGAATATGGTTTAATTTCTACCTCATACATTTTTTTGGAGGGCAGGAAGCTTTAATTGTAACTAAATCTTGACTTGAAAAGAAATATCGGATATATCGGATATTGAAGTTTGTGGAAATATCGGATATTCATT